GCTTCGTGCAGGATCATCCACACCTTTTGAAGGGACGAATACAGAGACCTGGTGCACCCGGGTACCACAAGGTTCCCAAACGACCCTCAGCAGGTTTTGAATTCAGAGTTGTCCTTCTCCTAGATCAGTTGCCATTCAAGGCTATAGAACCCAGTCTGTCCTGCTATTTTACCCATAGCTGGAGGGAGAGGAAGAGTATTCATACCTTTCCCAATGGTATTAGCACGTAAGTGAATGTAATGGATTCGACTGGAATTCGAACTCTGCTCTGCGATTCCATTACTCCACCGTGCCTCCTCCTCCTCCTCCTCCTCCTCCGATAGATAGATAGATAGACCAATTGTTTAAAGAAAGGGGGCGTAAGGGTTAATTTGCTCTAGCCGTTACCATAGTAATTTTAATTTCAATAATGAATATGCTTATAAAACGCGTAAATTTCAGGAATAAGTTATTCCCAAAAAATTTCGCTTGAAGATGGAACAGAGCTTAGTACTTTAATTCAATTTAATTCAAATAATTATATTGAAGTTTTCAGCTCTTGCTTTGAAACATGAGAACTCTTATGTAGCGATTTGAAATCATATTTTTAAATAAATAATTAGATTTATGCTCTACTTTTTTATCGAACACTATTTTTAAAAAATAATAACTAAAATACTAAAGAACTTTGGATTATTTACCTAACGAGTTCTTTCCTATTTTCTATATATTTTTACACATATGATGTAATATATATATATATATATATATATATATATATATATATATATATATATATATATATAAATTGGAATAAAATTTCGCTTGAGGATGGAACTCAATTTAATTTAAAGGATTATATTGAAGTTTTCGGCTCTAGTTTTGAAACATGAGACCTCTTATGTAGCGATTTGGAATCATATTTTTAAATAAATAATTATATATTTATATATATATTTAATATGTAATATAATATTATATTTTTAATATATATATGTGTGTGTGTGTGTGTGTGTGTGTGTGTGTGTGTGTGTGTGTGTGTATAATAAGGAAAAAACTTAAATATTCATCATATAGTCAGTTATAAATTTATTTCATCAAGTCTCAATATTTATACCTGCCTCATGAGGCAGACTACATTTTATGAAATGATACCAGACAATCTGATAATAAACCAGACATTTAAAAAATGAAAAAAAATATAAAATGAAAAGGTAAAAGAAGTAGCAAAATTAACTTGGTGTGGGGGGGTACACTATTGAAGAGAAAGAAGTGGGAGAAGAAATAAGAGGAAAAAAGAAAAGTGGGTGTTGCATATTTGAGTAAGGGAAAGTAGCCGACATTTTTATGGATAATTTGTCAAACTAGAAAAATCTTTAACCACAACAAATATCGAATATTTTTTACAGAAATAGAATCAATGTCTTTATTTATTTAAACATCATGATAATAATAATAATAATAATAATAATAATAATAAAAAAATATCTAAAATATATTAAAAATATATAATAATAAATAGATGACTAAATAAATAATTAAATAATAATGATAATAATAATAACAGAAATAATAATAATAATAATGTTAATAATAAAAAATACATATAATGTAAGCATATCGGTTACATCCACATAAACCATCACATACATCTATAAACACGTATGTATGCGCCACACACACACACACACACACACACACACACAAAACATATGCATGAAAAACAAAATACTTATAATAATCACATGGAAGAAATAATTTTATATATATATATATATATATATATATATAATTTAAAAAAAATATTTTTATTTTATTATTTTGGAACTATATATATATATATATATATATATATATGTATATATATTAGTTCCAAATAATTTACTGTGTTCATCTTGCAAAATAAATGTCTATTTATAAGAATATTTAAACCTATTTTTATGGCGATATTTAAATATGATTTCATTTCTGTGATTTAATAACTGGCTTGTATTTTTGTATTTAATTATTTGAGTGTTTTTTTTATTTTTTTAAAAAAGTATTGAATTGAGCTATATTCGAAAAGTATTGAATCTAGCTATATTTGAAAATATTGAATCTAGCTATATTTGAAAAGTATTGAATTGAGATATATTTGAAAAGTACTGAATTGTGTTACATCCGTAAAGTATTGAATCAAGTTATATCCGAAAAGTATTGACTAGTGCTGTATATGAAAAGTATTGAATCGAGCTGTATATGAAAAGTATTGAATCGATCTATGTTAGGAAAGTATTGAATCGAGTTATATATTTAAAAATATTGAATCGAGTCATATTTGGAAAAGTATTGACTAGAGTTGTGTTTGGAAAGTATTGAATCGAGCTGTATATGAAAAGTATTGAATGGAGCTGTATATTTGAAAAGTATTTAATCGAACTATACTATAAATTATTGAATGAAGCTATATATTTGAAATGTATTGAATTGAGCTATATTTGAAAAGTATTGAATATAGCTATAATTGAAAACTATTGAACCGAGCTATATTCGAAAAGTATTGAATCGTGCTGTATTTAAAAAGTACTGAATTGAGCTATATTAGAAAAGTATTGAATCGAGCTATATATTTGAAAATTATTGAATCGAAGCATATTCGAAAAGTATTGAATCGAGCTATATATTTGAAAGTATTGAATTGAGCTATATTCGAAAAGTATTGAATCGAGCTATATATTTGAAAGTATTGAATCAAGGCATATTTAAAACCCCAGCCCAATTAAATCTTGAATAGATCAGCTTTTTTTTATTTTTTA